TGTATTGATCAGAGTTAACTGCACCTACCTCTTCTTTGGTCTCCACCAGAGCTATATATTCTCCCTCCGATGAGTCTGTATCATCGTTGACGCCCGATACTGACTTTCGTTGGCTAAATGGTCTTCGTTGAGCATTACAGACGACTGCGAAATGATTCTTTCTTTTACACAATGAGCATGTTTTGCCCCAGGCTGGGCATTTGAACTTATCTCTGGGATGAGATTTGTTGCAAAATTTACACTTGATTAACACTTCTTCATCTCTTTTCTCGACTCGCTTCCTTTGCTCTTTGTACTGTTCTTTTCCAACAGCCGACACTTGCTCACCTTCAACTTTCATCGACTCGAGTTGCTTCGCCGTCTTTTCACAAGACCGAACTATATCTATACTTTGTTGCAGAGTAAGCTTTGAGACTTGCAATAATTTCTTTCGTGTGGCGTTGTCCTTAATACCCATGACAATACGATCTCTTATCAAGTTGTCTTCCAAATTACCAAAGTTACACGTCTTGGCTAACGTACGAAGAGCTGCGAAGTAAGCATCAACCGTTTCGTGTGACTCTTGATCTCTTTTATTAAAACAATACCGTTCGTACGTCTCATTTGTCTCTCCAATACAATACTTTTCCAACTTGCTTACGACAACATCGATGTCCTTTCTCTCGTCTTCATTCGCGAAGTCCAGTCCGTCAAACACATCAAGAGCATCAGCTCCAATGCACGTCAACAGAGTCGCTGTTCTTAGTTCTTTATTATTATACTAGGGTTATTCGGATCTCGCAGACGTGCTGCTATTTCGTAGTTGTTCCACGCGCGATAAAACCTTTTCCAATTCGTTGCCAGATTACCTGTCATGGCCAGCTGCGGTGGCATGGGCAAATTCACCGGAATTTGTATCACTTTAACCTGCTGAGACGCCATCGATGTTGTCGGTTCATCATGGTCCGACATATTTAAAATATTTTACAATATCTCCTCGAATGTTTCACACTTTCGCCTCGTCTTGAGCGAGTTCACGGAGTTGCTGCTGCACAATAGACTTTCCAATCGATAAATAACTGCTTAATTCATTCCTGGTACCATGTTATGTTAAGTATAAACAAGTAAAAGCTTTTTTATTTCATAAATCCCGACGATAACAATACGTTCTATACTGTTATTTTACGAATATCAAGTCCTAACATAAACATTGTGGTTCGGGCTGTCCGTGTTCATTTTAAGGGTCAATTATGTCCCAGGCTCCTGAGTACACCCCGTAACATGCACTGTTGCACAGAACAGACTAAATCTTTGTTTGCTCTGGTTAAATTAAATGGAGAAACTGAACTCTTAAAAGTACCTTGGATTTTTAAGTTTAAAATGCACACTCTGCGGACATGTTCATGAGAATATAACATGAAATGAAATTAATGAATATCTTTATATTTTCCCTCTGATATTTTTCGTGCAATGAAATCTATTGACATAACAGTCACAGTGTCAATCATATTGTATGATTGTGTCTAAAAATAACATGTGGGCGTCCCACGGTTTAGATAGGTTTTGTGTCAGGCCCTATTTCAAATTAAGGCCTGAACTTCAGGTTACAAAAAGGCCAAGTTACCAACCCTGAACATTTTCATGCAACCGAACATTCAAGTGATTCGTAAGGGGCTTCGGTGGCGAAGTGGTTAGCGCACTTGCCTTTCACCTCTAAGGTCGCAGGTTCGAATCTCAATGAGGACTTCTCATTGTGACTGGAACCCAGTCCTAATGTGAAAAAAGTAAGTCAACGCTCTGCCGAAAGTCGTGGGTTTTCTCCGGGTACTCCGTGTTTCCTCCCACAGGGAAAGTTGACAGGGTGGGTTAGGCACATTGGTCTGGAAGCAGATCATTAATGAGGTATCGACTAATAGCGGCTGCTCAAGCGCCATTTGTAAGCTCAAAGTCTACCTCGGTCTGCTTTACGTCAGTCCGGTTGATCTATCTAATCATAATGTAAAACTTCTGCAATTCAGTGTATGCTGCCATGGAAGTTCAAATACACTATCTACTATCTAAATGATTCAACATGTGAACTCGCTCGTCGCTCGATCCACTGATCTGAATAAGACTGGATAACGCATCTATATATACAAAAGTGAAGCCGGAAGTCACCGGCCGCCACCCGATTCTGGGGCCCCACTTTTGTATAGATTTGTATTACAGATGGTAGTTTTTCGCGTTTTTTGCCTTGGCTATGTTTCTGACCAGGCCAATTTTACAATCACAAAGATAGAAGCATACAAGTTTGGAGTATTATGGCTTTATAACGCCGTGAAACGGGATTTACAACTCTGAAGGAGTGGAGAGCCTCAGACTTTGTTTATCAACACGGGGAAACGACAAAACGCGGACCCCAGGTCAATGGACTGCTTTCGTGGACCTGGTCCATGGACTACACTTGTGGACCACGGACCACTCCCGTGGACCACTCTCGTGGACCACTTGCGAAATTTCGCCTACCGAACAATAGACCAAGCACTATTATTCCGAGTTTAGGGAGCCGAGATTGGCGGGAACTATTTCATTATTCATTTCCATTATTTATTTCACAATCAATATTGTTGATGAACAGTGAATACTAAGTCTGTAAAAATGCTGAAAAAATGTAGTCAGGGTTCCATTAAAAAATATAGGAATACTGTGGAGAATCTGGAGGGGAGGGGTGGTCAAAGGATTTTACTGAATTATTCGAATTTTACTGTTAAAAAATCACTTGAACTGTAGAAGTCGTAAGTTGCAATGACCTTTCAATGCCTGAAGGTCCTCTCCCAAAAATATTAATTTTTGAAGCTCGATTACTGCTTTTCTTGCATTTCCTGTAGCGATCGAGAAAAAAAACTACCAATTTTAAGGGCATATATTCGGAAACTTTGCATTAAAGTCGTAATTGCACACTTATATTTTAGAACGGTCATGTAGTGAATGGATTTAGAACTTCACATTTTGTGTAAAGTTTCCACAATTATAATAATGACTTAACTCGACTCAAGCACATTTTTGCATGCACAGTCAAGAATTCAAACCCCAAAAATCTGGTGTCTCGCAAGTGGTCCATGAGAGTGGTCCACGAGAGTGATCCGCGAAGGTAGTCCACGGACCTGGGGTCCGCGTTTTGTCGTTTCCCATCAACACAAGCTTGTTTTGCTACTTTCATACAAAATCAACTCAAAATATACAAGAATTACTGTTACTGGACGAATATCCTCAGTAAATTTGAAGAAATGAAGCAGCTACATTGTGAATGAAAGCGTACAGAGGTTAGTTTTAAAATACCTTTTATAATTATATGAATTAAAATAACATATCGAGTCATTGTTTATAATTTGGATTAAAAATATTTCATTGTCACTTGTCTTCCTACTTTAAAACGTATAAAACTTCTCGACAAGTCGCCGGGGAATGCTCTTGACAAAATTGACATTTAAAACTGTTCCTTAATTCGTATAATTATAAAAGTAGCCTCAAGGTATTTTAAAACTAACCTCAGTATGCTTTTGTTCACAATGTAGCTGCTTCATTTCTTCAAATTTCCTGAGAATATTCGTCCAGTAACAGTAATTCTTGTATATTTTGAGTTGATTTTGTATGAAAGTAGCAAAATGAGCTTGTGTTAATTAAAGTCTGAGGCTCTCCACTCCTTCAGAGTTGTAAATCCTGTTTCGCGGCGTTATAAAGCCATAATACTCCAAATTTTTTGCTCAAAATTATTCTTGTATGCTTCTATCGTTGTGATTGTAAAATTGGCCCGGTCGGAAACATAGCCAAGGTAAAAAAAAACAGGAAAAACTACCGTCTGTAATACAAATCTATACAAAAGTGGGGGCCCAGAATCGGGTGGCGGCCGGTTACTTCCGGCTTCACTTTGTATTATAGATGCGTTATCCAGTCTTATTTCAGATCAGTGGCTCGATTATTTAAGTCACTTCACTGTTGGAAGTACAATATAAAATATAACCATTTCCTCCCTTTCTAAAGAAGCAGAAAATAAGTAGAGTTTAAAAGTACCTGGAGTTTTTTTCGTCGAAGTGTCTATTCAGCCGGCTATTTAGTAAACTGCCGGCTATTTAGTAAACTGCTGGCTATATATAGTGTCTATAGTTACATATAGAAACTTTTGTTTGTGCTAGTTTTTACAGAGCTTGCCGGTAGCGTATATGGTAAAGGCGTTGCGTGCGGAAAGTGAAACCCAGGTCGGGTTGTGTTTTGTCTGTCTTATAGAGCTGTGCGGTTCCAAACTAAATTATCAACTATTTGAGCACTTTGCACAGTGCATATTGTGCACAAAGAGCACAATCTTGTTATTTTCCAAACATTTCAACCTGCAATCAGGCGTTTCGCGGGCAGAAATTAAAACCGAAACTACCGGTTCTTTTGCGTATAATTTTTCAGTGCTAAAAAAGTACCGGAAGCACTGTGCTGTTAACCGCACAGCTCTACTGTCTTAGCATATTTTTTTACTTAAACTTTTTTAAACTTTTTTTTCCACCTTTTCTAACTCTCAAAATGTTAGGTTAGGGTTAGAGAAGGGATTGGGGTTGTGATCGGTTTATCTTATAAAAATTCAACTAAGTTTACTGAATAGCCGGCTGTATAGACACTTCGTTTTTTATTGGATAATATCTTCATTGTTTGCAGTGATAGTCAGGTAAAACCCAACATAGATTTTTGCTGCCAAGGCAACACTCCTAATCTTGACGTGAAGGCACAGAATAAAGACATACAGAAGATCGACGTGCGTAACCGCTACCACACCATGATTCATCATCAAAATGCTGACGCCATGGGCCTATATTTAACATTTTTTAGTAAATCAAAGGTGCTAACTAAAGGTGTTTGATTTCAGTGGGTAACTCTCGCTGAAGTTAGTTGCTAATGCTGATACAGGTTTTTTACCAATGTTGGTTTTGGATTCTTCCAATGTTCTACAGTATATTAGTAAGAATACTGTTGATAGCAACGTGCATTATTTGGCTTTTTTTTGCTCCAATAAATTCTCCATTCCACGCCTCAGAGGCAGGGGCGGCGCTACAGGGGGTGTGGGGGGTGGAACACCCCCCCCCCCCCACTCGTCAGCTAATCGGCAAATTGTTATCTCAGTCGGCAAAACTGGATTGGCTAATGATAACCACTGAAGAAACCAAAATTGACCTCCCGAATAATTGAATTCAAACCGAATATCACGAATAGCATGCGTCAAAGAAACCACACATGCAACAATGCAAATTTTTTCGAATACAGTATCTTCACTTCTGGCAGCTAGTCCAAAAACATAATATTATTGAAATCATAATTAGGTAATTAAATTTGTTTGGTGGTGGTTGTTGTTGTTGTTGTTGTTGTTGTTGTTGTTGTTGTTGTTGTTGTTGCTTATTATACTGTTCTATAAAAGAGGCAATAAAGTCGGTTTTCTACTAGCGAATTTTCTCACACGAAGCGACCTTTTTCCTTTGTCGGTATCACTTATTACGTCAGCAAGACGTGGCAAAATCAGTCCTCGAAAACGAGGTCGGCAATCGGCAATGCCGGGCTAAATGCAAATTTTTGCATTTAGCCAAATAAACAATATTATTATTATTATTTTTATTATTATTATTATTTTTACTATTTGTTTATTTGTTTATTCTGTTTATTATTACCTTAATTCAACCAAAGTAAGAATTTTTTATGCTGATAGCTTTTAAAATGTCAGCGATTATAGAATTCGATTCGTAGTTCGATTAACTGAACACACTATGGTGTAAGGTTTAAAAACTGACGGGTATTGTGTATATACGTTAGATGTTTGAAGATCAAATTTCGCACGTCTGGAGTTAAAATTTGGCTCCAACTTTCGAATTTTCCGGCTGGAGGTAACGTTCCAGTTATCCGATTTCAATGATTCGTAAATGCGTGATTAATAGTGCTCCAAGACGTGGAACAGATTTTAAGAAATGCCGAGATGTGCCGACCCAGGTCAGATTTAGGTCGGCTCTCTTTTGCCGACCTCAATTTTGACGGTTTTGACTTTTCGAGGGCTGCAAAATGGATGCCGACAGGAATTTTGGGTTTTCTGATTATGCGTGTCTCAGAATGATGCAAATGCCATTTCCGGGATTCAAATTTAAAAATTTTCCGTGCCTAGGGCACGAGCCTCCCACCCCCCAATATTTTCATAGAATGTCCGCTACTTGCACACACGGTGGGCTTAAAAGGTCTTAAAACTGTTTATTCTACTGATAAATAAAGGGGGTTTTATTGACTGGGATTTCAATAACTCGGACTGGGATTTCTAATAAAAATCCAACTGGGACTGGGATTTTGCCAAAATATCAGGTGGAAAATGGAATTGGGAACCCCCCCCCCCCTTTCAGGACCCACACTATAGGCTAATGACTCGGCAAAATTACCAAACAACAGTCGGCAAAAGATCACTCACACACCCCACACACCCCCCCCCACACTCGAAGAGGTTCAGCGCCGCCCCTGCTCAGAGGAATAAAGCAACGTCTTATTAAATGGCCCTGAGTGAGCAACATGTGATGCCAAAACTATCTTCCTTGCATACAGTGCAGCCTAATCCCAGTCTTTAGGATACTGTGTAACACCTTGGCAAGTGGTGATGCCACACTTAGGTTCCATGCAGCATGTAACACTTACTAAAATGCAACAATAATTTTAGGTATTTTTTTTTGTTTTCTAGTGTGGGTGGTAATGGCCGCGACACATCGCTTGCATCCTGTACACACTGGTCGTACTGAATCTGATGCAGTGGCAGTTGCAAGTGAGAAACCATGTAGTAGCTGCCTTGAACCTTTATCCCAACTTGAGAAACCTGCATTTCACTGTAATCAATGTGACTACACTGTATGTGGGGCATGTGATAAACCGAAGTCCCATCCTGTCCATCCGGATCATGGTGTGCTCTATATTACCCCTATATCGCCATGGAATTGTGACGTGTGCAAGCGGAAAAGTGAAAAAATCCAGGAGATACAGCACTACCATTGTGAACAGTGTGGCTTTCGCATATGTAAGAAATGTTACACTGGTGTAACCAGTCCACTTCATGTGCATTGTTTGTATCGTACTGATGTCTCGTATGTTTATCATCAATCAAAGGGAGAGTGGACCTGTGATGTGTGTAGTAACAACAATGGACCAGGACACTTGTAAGACATTATATATTTGATGCAGCTTATTTGATTAAGGTCAAGGATGTACTCAATTGAATACATGACCACTAACACATTAGCACTGTATAGAACTGCCTCTTTTGTTAATAAATTCCAGTTTTGTTTATCTAGGACAAATTTAATTCACGAATTCCACAATCTCAAGGACACAAATATGCATCGTTTTTAAAACAACAAAGCAATTCTGACATGCAGTGCTAATCTATGGGGTTGTGTTCTTCACATTGATCAGTCCTCTTAAGGTGAAAACTCACAAATACAAAAAAGTGCATGACTTTTGTTTATCATTATTCCCCTATACGAGTTTGCATTTTGCACAACACAATTTCCATGCCATTATTCATACTTTATAAAATATATACGAGACTCATGAATGTATCTGATTAGAGGTTGATGTTTTTTGGTGCCGAGTTTTAACTTTCAAAGAACAACCATTGATTATAACCATTGCAAGACAACCATGATTGAAGATTGCCAAAAACATGCGACATCTTTCCTCGCAACTTACTATTTGTTGGGGGTTTTTAACACACGCCTTTACCCTTTATTACTGTACCATGCAAGGACTTTCTTTTTGATGAGGGAAATTATCTGATGTTAGTGATGCTTAATTTGCAAGTCCCCTCAGTAGATAATGAATTAAGCGGGGTGATAGAACATAAATTATTTTATACTGTAAGTAGCAAACATATATCTTGACACTTACAGTGAAAATACAAAAAGTGTCCCACTTCCGCTTCTGTAATTTGTTGTGATTTACTGTAATTTGTTCTGTTTTTCTGTAGCGATTACCGATTTATCGGCAAATACCGCGATAAAACTTAGTTTTTTTCTATTTTTAAATATGATAATTTGTAGCAAAGGGAAATAATACATTTTTCGTTAGTTTCATTGCACAAAAGGAACGGAATTTAAATTTTATCGCAGTATTTGCCGATAAATCGGTAATCGCTACAGAAAAAACAGAACAAATTACAGTAAATCACAACAAACTACAGAAGCGGAAGTGGGACACTTTTTGTATTTTCACTGTAAATATAGATATGAATTAAACTAGTACTTTTCAATTATTGCTATAGCGTTTCCTGCTGTACCGTGTTCACCTTACAATTCTTTGAAAATATATGTTTGAATTGCTTTAGTTTTCCAGCACACTGCTCGTCATGTCAGTTTGATCTTTGTGACAACTGTATCAAGCCATACAGATCGACATTTCATCCAGGACATATAATGTATAAAGCGGATTCAAACCTCGTGTATCCTAGATTTTACGGCGGATGGCGTTGCGATAGATGTTCACGAAGTTTTATTCCGCAAATGAACAACGTTCCCTTTCATTGTTCCCAGTGTGAGTTCGACTTGTGTGATAGCTGTATGAAAACTACTGGTGATGCGTCAAATGCAGGTACGATTTCTAATTATGGCATACACAACTTTAAAAATGACCAATAAGAAGTAAGAATGCATGCAGTTCATGTGAAGGCTGGGTAAGTAAATACTTGACCCATGCTGCGTGCACCTTTCCGTGAAAATGCACTTATGAAAATACAATAAAACAACAATTAGCCTAACGAGTTCATTCAAGATACAATGAAAGACATATTATTTTGCAGAATTATACAATTATTTTCTATTATTTAGCCATGTCAGTCAACGTTAAATACACAGCATTATCAATGAATGTTCACATTTTGCTGAGTTTCTATATGGATCTGGCTAAATAGGGGACTTATTTTTTAAACTAATTAGGAGGAGAGGTTAAGTTATAGATTACAAGGTGTAGACCCAATCAATGGAGTTAATGCAAACGGGAAATCGAGATCTATGCAAGGCACAGCCCTTAAATATAATTGTAACTATAGATATACTTAATCTCGCGTGAGTGACCAAGTGCATATATTCGCGTCTAGATCGATTATTTTGCAAGATACAAACTGTTCAATGTGCAAAACACAGTATTACCCGGCAAAATCAGGCAGGTGGCTTGCGGTCCCCAGACTGGTAGTCCGTAACCCACATGCCCTCTCACCTTTGCACTATTCGTGGGATCTTTGACTCTGAGTTGGAGGGTAAATATGCCTAACCTGGGTTAAGTTCTGTATCACTTTAATACATTCAATAATTCACACTATATCTTCCCTTTAGTTGGCTATGATGTAGCAAGACCAGCCAGCCAAGGTTTGTAGTATAACCTGATATTTTTACGATTACGGATATAAGCGTGTTGTGTTAGTTGACATTTTAACTGAAGGCTGTAAGAATCACTGAACTATATAATATTGAAGGCTGACTCGAGCTCGAAAAGTGAAGCCAAACATGGCGGAAATTGAAGGCATTCTTGCGCGTCATTCTCAGTCCCCTTACGTGCGCGGTCAACTAACCTTTTATATTTTTCTTTACTTTCCGAGTAAAAATCTGGCGAAAAACAGATGAAATTTGAATGAAAAGTTGAATTCTGGTGTTTTGTTTGGGTTCAGTTCTAAATTTTAATTATTATTTATTTAAAAGATGCGATATTTGAGTGGAAAGAAAGCAAAATAGCTCGGGATTGTTGTTTTTGTAAATGACAAAGAGTGACAAAACAAAACACAAATGTCACTCAATCTTTCAAAATATCTGTATTGCCCCTATTGACAAGGGTTTCACACACATAAATAACTCGTTAAAATAAACAGTTTAAGTTTATAAGGCAATCATCAAAGTGATTTTATTAAATAAAAAATAAAAAAACCGAAAACCGATACCGGAAAAAAAATACCGATATTCGATAATACCGATATATCGATATTTTTTCGCGATTGTATTTTGCTTAATTTTATGCAAAATTTGCTTAATTTTATGCAACATTTTCTGTTTTCAAATGATGCCAAACAGCCACGATATAACAGCTTTGACTCAGGTGCGCGTGGTATTTTCAATAAAGTATGAGGCCAGTGATCACTGATCAGTAACCTGTGAAATGTCCGCTCTAAAAATTGAAAATACATTTTACTTACTAGCATTGATTACCGCACCGGATGAATCATGTGTGATATTTTTGACCGGGAAATTGTTTCAAAACATTTTATTCAACTGCGAGTTCGAAACAAAGATCGTCCTATCTCACCAGATAAACAATGTCCAATGAGGTTAGTTTTTGTTTTTCTAGAACATTTGTAAACCACCGTTGTTTACGTTCTAAAAGTTCACTTTTTGATAAGCGAAATGACATATTACACCTTGCAACGCCAACGTATAAACAAACACGTTTTAGATCTCGCTCTAACCTTCCCGCGGAGTTAGCACACGTCTTTGTCCTTCTGAAATAACTCCAATCAGCGCTTGAAAAAGCTTGATATGGCATTTTAAATATACAAACGTAAACGTGATATCGATAATACCGAAAAATATCGATATTCCGATATATCGAAAATTTCAATATCAAGTTATCGGTATTTATAAAAAAACGATAGTTATCGGTATATCGATATACCGCAACAGGCTAGTAGAAAGTAGGAAGCAATGGAGCGACACTACCTTCAAAGTCTAAGTAACCTGAGTACAAACCTTAATCCGATTGCTTTCCGCCCACAGCAAAGTTTATATTTAGTATCCAATCAAAATGTCGCAGGAGAAATTTAAATTTCATACAACGACAATAACAATCTAATTATAATTTCTTGGAATTAACAATGACCACAAATGCTTAAAAATAAAACAATTTTATTGTTTACAACGTTTCGGAGTGTTACTCCATCTTCAGGTAACAAAGATTGCCAATTTTTGTTACCTGAAGATGGAATAACACTCCGAAAGTTGTAAACAATAAAATTGTTTTATTTTTAAGCATTTGTGGTCGTTGTTAATTCCAAGAAATTATACTAAATGATATACCGAAGTTGTCCTCGTATATAAATCCTCACTTTAAATATTTATTGTACATACAAACAATACGAACATATGAATTCACTTGTCTCAAAACCTTGTCCATTTTGTCTCTCTGTCTCTTGTCCAATAACAAAGTAATTATCCCATATATGGTAATGTTGCGCGTGTCTCTAAAAATAGCTATTACTGTTCAGAGTTCATCACACACTCCCCTAACAAATTTAAACGAATTATAAATTTTTAACAACAACATTCTACACAGTTATATTTACTTCCCTTTAATCGTCCTTCAATTGTTCTCTGATGTTAACTTTCGCGATCTTTGCTGCTTTCCGTTCTGGTCTTTCCTTTAATTTATCATCATTATCTTCAGTACTTTCGTTGTGTCTTCCTTGATCTTCCTTAACCACGCTCCTTATCTCCAAAGGACATACTAGCTGAACAGGTCGTTCCAAATAGTTACCCTTATGTAACACAATAACTCCTCTAATTACACCGTCCTTTCCTTTCACGTACTTCACAACTTTGCCTTTCATCCACCGTCCTCGGTTCTTTTCGTCTCCAACGATCAATACAATTTCCCCAATCTCTGGTACAGCAGATGGGCTTTTATTTACACGATGATACTCCATTAATCCATGGATATATTCCCGTTGCCATCTCGACCACGCGTGTTGTCTTGCCATAGTAAGACGTTTGTATAGACTTTCATCTCTTTCCTCGCTTAATTCTCCCAATGCATACGAATTCTGTCCCCAGAGCATAGTGTTGGGTGTTAGGATTTGCTCCTCTTCTTGACTGCTTTCTACGTTGGATTCCCACTTGTGAAGTGGTAGTTTGGCACCTTCTAAGATTGCTGTAGTGTCAACTATGAACTTTTCTAAATCTGATACATCGCTTCCGATTATTTTGTCCTCGTCAGTCCCACTCTTCACCAACTTTGCTTTCTTGCTTTTCTTCGACTTTTCTTTCATTCTATTTTCGTCTGTAATTTTTCTCTTCATTTTCTTACGTTCATTTGTCTTTTCAACACCAGTAGTTTCTTTAGTGTTTCTTTTCGAAAGAACGTTTTTCTTCTTTCCTTTGATGTTTTTCTTTCTTCTCTTTTTTCTTTTCTTTCCACTCTTTTTTCTGTTCTTTCCACTTTCCTGCGCTCCACTTTCATCCATCAATTCAAACGTTTCATCTTGGTCAGAACTATCGGAGGCATTTTCGTCTTCATCACCTTGTCCTTCCTTTGTTTCTTCCGCAGTTACTGGCTTCAATTCTCTCAACTGTTCTGGTGTATTTTCATGTTCCTCAGTTTCTTCATTCATGTCTTCTCTTTCTTTTTCATTGTTCAAAAACCATGGATTTTCCGAACTATCACCGACCAGTCCAAAATTTCTACAATTCTCGGGAATCTCCGCGCTATCTTTGGCTTTATTTGCCTCCTCTCTGACGACAGGTTTGTGGGGTATATGATATACTTGTTCACCATTCGGTTTCTCTGGTGCACCTTCAATGATACCCGACTCTAATTGCTTCTCGATTATTTCATCATAATTGTTCTTTAACTTCTCATCTCGCTCGATCTTTTTGCATACATTAGCTAATCGCTTTCGACTTGGTTCTATATTGCTATTTGGTAAAGACTGTCCTGGAATCGATGGTACTTTGACTTGATATCTGCCGTCATCAGCCCGAGTAATGTTCTCTGACTCATGATAAACGTCCATTTGGTCGTTCTCCACTCTATCTTCAATTCCAACTACATCCAGTGTATACAATTGCTCGTAGTCATTTGGTTCTCTTGTAAACATACATACGTTGTTCGAAATATTCCCTTTGTAGATTTCCTCTGTCTTAATCTTGCAGAAGCTGTTGTCACCTAAGATCATGTGTATTGGGTATTTACCATCTCTTGTCATGTAAAACCTCTTATCCTTTGTGTGTTCATAATTCCATTTAAGTTTGTTCATGTCCGGTCTTTTCACTGTTGTGAAATCTTTCATTGTCGACCCGGCTAGCTCTATATCTTCCTTGGTTGATCCATCTAATGATTCGATTGTTACATTGTAAATAGGCATCGACTGTCTCTTTGTTCCATTAATGGTGATGGTTTCTTTCGATTCATGTCGTGCTGCAGAAACTTGAAGTCCCTTTACTGCTTCCTTTGAAATAAAATTTCTGCCCAATCCTGTGTCCAAAAATGCCCAGAAAACTTCTCCGTCCACCTTAACT